TGAAATTGTTGTAGGGTTTTGTCTGTGTTTTCCTCAGTTTTGTGAGTGTTTTCCTTGATCTGTCTCTCAATCCTTTGAAGATACTAAATATAATTATTTTCCTTATCAGGGAGTTCCAGTGCTCCTTCTTCCTCAGGGATGTGTTCTCAGTCTGCATCCTGGTCCCTTGTTTCTCCTGCTTTATCTTGCTTCTTTGTGTGGACTGTGATGGTCATGGTCTGTTGTCTCCAAGACATTGTGATGTTTTTGTCTTTGTATTTAATTGGTGGTTGTATATTGGAATGATTTGCCAAGATTTTTGTTTTCTTTGGATGTATCTGAGTAAGCAGGGTACTGTGTGCCTCTGTTTGCTAGTTGGCAGCACTTATGCCCTCACCACCTGTCTCCTTTCCAGTTGTCAGCCTCCTGTATGTCCATACTGTCCTTGGCAAGTGGAGCCTATTCTTAGGTTCCTGGAATCTGAACAAGAATGCTGTCACTTTAAATATCCAAAATGGCCACTGCTTGTAAACATTCAAAATGGCTATGCCCTCAGGACAGCTGAAAGTGCACAGCTCAGTTTGTCTCCTTCTTTGCTGTTTCCCTTTTTAGTAATCAGCCCCCAGTGCAGTAATCCATGCCAACCTTGGTGAGCAGGGCCGATTTTTAGGTTAATTCTCAGGTCCTAACACCACTTGGAAATATTCAGGCTGTCCATGCTGTCAGGATAGCTGACAATCCGCAGCTCTGTTTGTCTCTTTATTTGCTGTTTTCCTTCAGGTTCTTCTACTAGTTGGTGTTTAATTCACTTCTGTATCCTTTCCTTCAAAGCTCAGGGCTCCAGGATTATCTTCTGTATCTGTGTCAGTTAGTTTCTCTTTTCTTTATTGAAGAGGGTCTGTGTAGCTTGTCTACCTATTCCACCATCTATCTGAATTTCAGATGACTTTTGATACAACTGTGATTTATTGTTTAATGATTTTGAACCATAGTTAGATGAAGTATGTAAATGTGATTTGGGGAAGTAGATTTATTTATTTTCGGGTTGCTCCCTCTTTTCTCAGAAATGTTCACGAGCTTGTCTAGTGGCGTCTTGTGAAGGAGTATGATTCATATGGGAACGGGATGGCGGGAGTTCTCCCTCTGATTCCAAAGTGCTAATAGTTTACAGGAGCTCTTGGAGATAAAAGCTATCGCTGGCTTCTTGAGCTACACGGAGAATTGTTTCCTGAGGTATACTGATTTTGCTGCAGCAGTAGAACTTTGGCCATCTGTTGAGTGGATGTAGAGTTGCCACCTGGCAAGTCTGCCCTCTTCACCCGCGCACCTGTGCTCTGCAGCAGGGACCACCACACCCTCCCCCAGCCTAGGAAAAGGGGTCCTGGCTCCTGCTGAAGGCAGGTCCTGCACTGCTGCCCAGTCTTAGCCCCTCAGTCCTCCTGCTGCACCAGCACCTTGCGGGGTCAGCAGTTTTCTCCCTTTCCTCTGGCTCTTCCTGTTCAACCTAAATAATCTCCCTTATTAAAACACCATGACCACCACTTAGAGCCACCCAGAACCCTCTGAGCCATCTCTCTTTCAGAGCCTTTCCCAGCCACATTCCTCAGCAGAGTTCTCAGAGTAGCTTGTTTCCTGGTCCTCACCTCCTGCTGTGCCCAGCACCACTAAGATGTACCACTAAGAGGGCCTGGGTGGGCTCACCAGGGGCCAGGGCTGCTCCTTAGCAAATCCAGGCATTCCCTGCCTTTATCTTCCTAGATCTCTCCATCACCTGGGATGCACTCAGCAGTCCCCTCTCAAGACATTCTGGCCCCTTGACTGAATCTGTCTTTCCTGGTTCTTATGATAAGGACAGCTCTTACGGGGACTCTGTCCTCAGGCCTCTGCATTTACTAAATCACTAATCATCACCAAACCAAAACCAAACCTACTGCCATCAAGTCAATTCTGACTCATAGCAACCCCCCTTGAATTTCCAAGGCTGTAAATCTTTACGGAAGTAGATTGCCTCATCTTCTTCCCGCAAGCAGCCGGTGGGATTGAGACCACCAACCTTCTGGTTATGTAATCCTCACAGTAACCCTGGAAAGCAGGTCTTATTATTATCCCCGTTTACAGAGAGGAGATGATTGGCTCCGTGCCAAGTTTACACAGACAGGAAATGACAGAGCCAGGGCAGGAGCCCACGCAGTCACACTGGGCTCCTCCTTCCCCAATCCCGCCAGGTCCTCATTGCCCTGCCTCAGCCGGCCCTCCGTCAGGGTTCTCTGCTGATCTTCCTGCCTGACTCCTTCAGCCCTGCCCACCTGCAGTGTGTGCCCCCGCCACAAGGACCTCAGCCATGCCACCTCCTTCCTCTGCTTGGACAGCTGTCCTCATCCCCGGCACGCCACCCCCCGAGCACCCCTTCATCTCTCAGGACTCAGGCTGGCGATGCCTCTCTCGACCTCCGGGAAGAACAGTTCTCTGTCTCTGTGTCTCTGCTATTCTCCCTGGCTACCCACAGGGATATCCTGACACTTCAGATCTGCACTGGGTGAGATCTATCTTCAGTCACAGTGACTGGCGCCCCTTCATGTCCACACCTCTGTCCAGCTATCAGCCGGCACACCGTCCACAGCCACCACGTGCGTGTGGAAGAAGTGGATCCAACCTTGTCAAACGTATCTGATTGTGCTCCCCTGATGGAGGCCTTCGGTGTCCCCCCACCCCCGCCATGGCCACAGGACAAAGTCCAGACTCTGGCAGAAGCGCCTGCCACAGCCCTGCTTGCGTCTCATCTTCCTCAGCTTGAGGCCTTGGAGTTTTCTGTGCCTCTCTTGCTCCTCTCTGCCTTCATACCCCACCCCCTGCTTCCAAAGGTGGTAGACCTCTTTTGTTTCCTCAGGTGTCCCATGTCACCTGGTGTGGTAGTTAAGTTGTATGCCAACTTAGCTGGGCCTGGTTGAGTGGCTGGGCAGCTGGATGTAGTATTACTGGTAATATGATGAGACTGGTCATCAGCTCCATGGTGGAGTCTGCTGTGAGTGGCTGAGGAGCTGCTTTAGGGACGTGGTGTGCCCCCAGTACATAATGAGCAGCTTTGACAAAGGTCTCTGAGCATCTTGACACACTTGGGCCCTGCATGGAGCTGAGTCTTCATTCAGCAGCCTGCCATGTTGCTTGCTGATCTTGGGCCTGTCTCTGGATTTGAACTAGTGGCCTGCCATGTTGCTTGATAATTTGGGGACTGTGCCATTTTACTTGTCAGCCTTGGGTTTATCAGCCTCAGCAGCCAGCAGCTGCCTGAGTGAAGAAATGCCTCCAGCTCCGGTGGGCCAGGAGCAAGAGGCAGAGCTGCAGCACAGAAAAGGGGCCTTCACGCAGCCCCTCAAGCTGGCACTTTATGCTTGGACTTCTAGCCTCCTAACCTGTAAGAGAATAAACCCATGTTGAAGCCACCTGCCTGTGGTGTGTCTCTTATAGCAGCACTAGAGAACCAAGATGCTAGGGAGTCTTATTCTCCCATAGACTCTGAATCTCTAGGGACGTTAACAGCCCAGATGGAATTGAAAAGAAAGCATTTCTGGTTTCAGGGGGGCAGGCACTGCAGATGGACGGGGCCAGCTCAGGGCTCACACAGGAGCTTCCTTGCCAGTTTTCTGCAGCTGGGATTGAAGTACGCTCCGCTGTCGGCACATTCCATCCCTACTCTGGTCCCCTGCTTGGACTGTGGTTGGACGTGATAGGACATGATGCTCAGTGTCCGTCTGTCTGTCGTAGTCTCCGTCCCTGGACAGATGTGAAGGCAGGGCCTCTGTGGGTGCTCGCTGCCACCCCAGGGCCCTGCATTGGGGTGGCCTTGGTCACTTTTGGGGTGGGGGCTGGGAGGTGGACACATAGCTACGGCTCTTCAGTGACCGTTCCTGTGGTCATGAGCACCGTCCTAGAGCTAATGTTCCCTTCTCCTTGTTGGTTCTAGTTTGAGACCAGGGCCCGGCTGGAGAGGCTTTCGGCGAGTTCCTCCATAAGCTCCGCAGACCTGTTTGAGGAGCAGCGGAAGCAGACGCCAGGTACCGGGTGACGGGAGCATGCCAGTGGCAGGGTGAGGCGCTGAGGGGCTGGCCTTCGTGTGTGCAGCATGAGGGCATTGCCTGTTCCCAGGTCAGCATTAGCGAACGTTCTCTGCTCCTCTGCATCCCACACCCCAATGCAGAAGTCAGGTAGACCAGGAGTCTTACATGCGAGGAGACCGGGTGATGAACGCCATCCCAAGGGTGAGCTGGGAGGCCTCTTCCTGAGTATCTGCTGGCACAGTGTGCAGGCAGGTCTAGGACACTGTGTTACCGCAGCCCTGGAAGAGGATAGCCGGGGCACCCACATGACACTAACCACTCCCCAGCCGGGCAGCTGAGTCGCCCGTGTCTTAGTCTGTCCTCTGTAAAGTGGGTGGACAGTACTGACCTCATAAGGCTGCTGGAGGTTTAAATGAGATGCTGTGTGTAACGGGCCCAGCGTGGAGTCAGGCCACGGCAGGGACTTAGTCAACACACACTGAGTGAGCTGCCAGCCTATGGACACAGAAACAGGGCGACACTGACTGTCCCAGGCCCAGGGAAGACAGAACATGGGGCTGGGGGAGTGGGCAGGTGGGAGAGGAGTTCCCTGTCATCTCCTCCTCCCTCTTTGGGGTCCACACCCCAGAGGACAGAGGTCTAGTAGTCCTGGGTCTGGGGGCTAGGGTGATGCTCGTCACATGGTGGCAGGCTGAGCACTAGGATGGGATAGGCCCCAGGAGTGACCTCAATATGTGGACCCATCGTGACCGCTCAGAGCCGTGCCACCCCCTGCCCTTACATTCTGTTACCCCTGAGCCTCAAGAAATCTTGCTCAAGTTTCCCAAACTGGTTTTAGCCAGACTGTTGGTTAAGGAAGGTGACCCCATTTGTTAGCAGGAGAGCCCGAGGGGAGGGGCAAGAGCTGGGGCGTTGAGGGCCCAGTGCCATCTGCACCCCTCATTTCCAGCCGTGGAGGAGCTGGTCATGGGCTCTTGTGGAAGAGGTGAGTCTGTTCATGGGGTGACCACCATGGTGAGTCCAAAAGGAGACAGTTCAACAGAGAAGGTCATGGGCAGACCCCAAGTGGCTGGCCCTCTGTGGTGACAGATTGGGGACATTAGAAGACCCCTGTGGCCAGGATGCGGTGTTGCAGTGGGACGGGGCGTGCTAACCCTGCAGCATCTGGGGAGTGAGGGTGTGTGCTGGCAGAGTGGCTGGCCTGTGTCCTGAGAGGCACCTCAAGGAGTCGGGCGCCGAGGCCAGAGTGGGCCTGGCCGCTGTGTCTGCTTCACTGAGTGGTGGTGGGCTGGGGGCAAGGCTGCCCGTGGGCCAAAGAGCTCCCAAGCGGGGCTGGGTGCCTTCAGCTTCACATTGTTGTTGTTGTTATGTGCCGTCGAGTCGGCCCCAACTCATAGCGACCCCTCCTTGGGTTTCTGAGGCAGTATCACTACGGAAGTAGAATTGCCCAACCTTCCTTCCGAGGAGTGGCTGGTGGGTTTGAACCGCCAGCCTTCTGGTTAGCAGTCAAGTGCTTTAGCCACTATGCTACCAGAGCTCCCCAGCTTCACATTACTCCGGAGGATTTCCTAACCCAGATTCTCGTGGGACCCGTGGGGTCATAGGCTTATGCTCTGTCTCTGAACGTCCAGTGTCCTAGCCTCTTGTCTGGCCGCCTCCTTCTGTGACCATGCCCCTTGAGGGCTTCCAGCATGTACACCTCCGCTGCGCCCATACAGGTCTGTGCAGGGCCACCTGGCCGGAGCCCTGGCAGTGTGGCAGGTCAATCCAGGGGCCCAATATCATTAAAAATCACCCTTTGGCAACATGTGGTCTTGTAATTAAGTTGTTGAAAGCTTCACTCTGAAACATTGTTGTTTTGTTTAAGAAACTTTCCTGTTGTTGAAAGGAAATTGAGGCTGGCCTGTGTTTACCTTCCTGTCCTCTTTCTGAGTACAAAAGTCCATGAATTTTTCTGGGCCCCTCTTTGGGCCCAGGCAAACTCTGGTTCCCGGCAACTTCTGGCCGTATTAAGGGTGCACCCTGGGGTGCTGGGCCAACCAAGGGCCTCACACCACGGACCCAGCCGGCCGGCCTCTGCCTGGCGGAGCTCAGCCCCTACCTCTCCTCCATCCCAAACCCAGGGGCCGGACCGTGGCACCCTCATTCTGCACTGTCCACCGGCTCACTGTGAACATGCTGCTGAGTGCCGCCTCAGTAGGTGTGCGGAGGCTGTTCCCGTTACATGTTTAAACTTGTGTTTGGAGTGCCTCTCAGAAAGGAGCAGAAGCAGGTCTTAAGAAACTCTTCTGACCATCTCCGCGCTCATGAAATGTTCCTACATGGATCGCGTTGTCATTTGTCACCGAGTCGACTCCTATTCTGGCTTATAAGTATGTCATGAGAAAAGATCATTAAAAAAAAACCCCACTGTCGTCGAGTAGGATACGACTCATAAACGACCCCTCCTTGGGTTTCCAAAGCCGTATCACCACGGAAATAGATTGTAGAGATGCCACCTTGGAAACCCAAGAAGGGGTCGCTATGAGTCCCACTCGGCCTATAAATGTCAGGAAAAAAGATGAGATATTGTAAATGTGAAAGTCGCCCATGAAGTAAGGCACTCCCAGGATGTGCCTTCCCCCCGGAGCCCTGTGGCCAGAGAGGCAGCAGGTTGTGCAACGACCAGGTAGATACATGGGGAGCAGCATGTCCGTGGGTAGTGAGACTCTCGGCCGGGCTGCTAGATACTGAGACGTTGGCCTCCATGCAGTTGAGGGCCACGCGGGTGTTCTTTCTTGTTCTTGTCCCGCCTCCGTTGTCCGTTTCCCCTGCTGTCACCAAAATGTGCCCAACGTGGGAAGGATCGGGTGGGAAAGATTAGCCCAAGTGTTTGAGGTCTTTGGGACAGCCCTGTTGTCATCTGTTAGCCAGCGTTGCCTGGTTTTCTCTTTAAAGACCTTTTATGTTTCTTCCAATCACAGAAGTTACACACACTGGAGGCATTATAGTGTGCACCTCTTTCATCCTGCCTTTTTTTTTAAAAAAAAAATAACAATAATGTTTTTGGTGGAATTTTGCACAGTAATTTGAGTTCGCATCTGACACTTTCTTTACTCGTTGCTTAACGACATTAGTTATGTTTCCCACAGCGTGTCCATGTTCTCTTTCATTGCGTTCTGGCTGATCTGTATCCAGGGCCTACTTTTCCCACCCGCCCCATCCAGAATCAGACTCATAAGAATCTTTGCTTTAGAGCAACAGTCCGTGTTTTGGTCTCATGTAGATAGTTTTTTACTGGAGCACGTACTCACGGATGATGCCTTTTTTTGTATCCACTCTGTTACTTAGTTAAAAGGTAATCTCAGGAGATAGTTGCAGTTGAAGGTTTAAAGAGTATCTCAAGGAGTCTGGACTTTTAAGAATTATGGGTTCTGTTCCATGTTTTCCTCCCCTTCTGCCAGAGTCTGCCTATGATGGACTGATCAGAAAGATCGGTAGTGGTGGCCGGGCACCATCTAGTTGCTCTGGTCTCAGGGCAGATGAGGCCGTGGCTCGTGTGGGTAGTTAGCTCTGGAAACTAGTTTCTTCTCTGAGTCTTTGGTTTCCTTCTTCCTTTTCTGTTCCTGATGACTGGAGACCAGTGGTTGTATCTTAGATGGCCACTTGTAAGCTTTTAAGGCCCCAGACACTACTCACCTTAATAGCCTTCAAACCTAGAAAACTGGTCTCGCAAGCTGTTTGGTTAAGTCTGAGAGGTGATTGCAATTGTGACTCCCATGACCATGGTACCTGCATATACATGTATGTACTTGGATGTACATATAGATAGGTGTACCCATGTATACATGCACCTGTACCTGCATACCTGTGTGCCTCAATACAGTCATAGGTGACCGTACACCCGTCTTTGTTCATTGTTGGTATTACTGCCAAATTGTGTTACGTCTAAGTCCTTGGGACCGACATCCTCTTCCCCTGAGTGCTTCTCAGTGACCTTGTTCACGTTGGCTGAGCTGTGCTGATGACACACACATTCCGTGTCATCCTGCCTTTCCTTTAACATTCAGGCATAAACATATTCTCACGTCATTAAATACCCTTTGCAGACATTTGAGTGGCTCCGTAGAACATTCTTCAGCCTCTCACCCACATCTGTTCCCCACATCATTCAGTCAAGAAGTGGGGGGCATGGGCCAGGGGCGGGTCAGGAGCTGGTTGGTGTTCAGGCTGCTTTGGACACTTCACAAACTGGCACCTCCACACTCTTCTTCATTCTCATCGGCGCCAGTTCCATAATGTTCAGGGCCCAGGGCAAAATGAAAGTGTGGGGACCCGAGATCCTGGATAGAGTGGGAGGGCACCAGGTTTGCTGGTCTGAGAGCCTGGTGAGACCTCTGAGACTATGGCCCCCAGCTACCCTCCGGGTCTGGAACTCAACTCACTCCTGTGGCTTCCAGCCAAACAATAGACAGGCATATGGGCCGAACATTGACATCAGGTAGATACACTCCTTGGAGAGATCAATCATGGGAGAAAGAAGGGCAGTGTTTGCACAGGGAGACAGCTCGGGGGCCAGCAATGCACGGGAGGGAAGGACACAGAGAAGAGGTAACTACAGGAAGGAAGTGGGAAAAGAGCTGTTACCTTGTGGGGAATTGTAGTCAATGTCATGACACAAAATGTGTATGAACTGCTGTATGGAAGATGAATTTGCTCTGTAATCTTTCATTCAAATCACAATAAAAATTTTAAAAAAAGAAATGAAAATGTGGGGCCTCTTGTTCAAAATGCAGGAAAAAAAATCTGTGTGGGATCAAAGGGTCAAGAGCAGTGGGAAAGATTAGATTAGGAACCTTCGTGGGCAGTGAGTTCATGTTAATGGAGGGACAGCTCAGAAAAGGAGAGTGAAAATGGTCGCACAGCTGGAAGAATGTCGTCTGTCCCTGAACTGCACACGCAGAAATGACTGAATTGGTGTATGTTCTGCTGTGTATATTCTCAACCACAACAAAACT